CATGGACAGGCCCAGTGCGGCCAGCGTCCCAGGGTGCCCACCTGAGCTCCTGCTGCGGAGGACCAGCCTGCTTGGCCCGGCCGGCCTGGCACCGTTTTTTAAACACCCCCATCCCTTGGGAAGCAGCCAGCCCCCTACACCTTCCAGGGCCCTGGGCCCCTCCTAGACCCAGGTGGAGAGCACAGCCCTCCGACCCTCACGGCCCCCAGGGGCAGGACTGAGCCCCCTCCAGGAAGAAGCAGGGGGGAATCTATTTTTTCTCTCCTTTTCTTTTCTTCAATAAAAAGAATTAAAAACTCATGTCCTCTCTGTGTGGTCTCCCTCTGCGTGGCCCGGTGTCCTGGCCCAGCCCTGGCTGCTGGGGTGAAGTCCTGCCTGGCCTTGGTGTCCCCTCATCCCTGGGCCAGGAGGACTGGGGAGGCCAGGTGGGCCCTGAAGCTCCTGCCTTGCCCTGGGCCTGGACGTCTGGGCCTTGGGCTCCCAGGCCAGCGGCCGTGTGGCTCCCAAGGCGTCCCCTCTCCCTGGGGCTCTGGGAACATTCAGGGAGCCCCAAGTGCTGGTGCCCTTGGCTCCCTCCTGACCCTTCTCAGCACATGAGCTTCACATAGCTCTGAGGCCCCTCAGTGGGGACACATTCGACTCTCCTTGTTCCTTTAGTCATTTTCAGGAGGGACAGAATGAACACACCGATTCTTTAAAATAGTCTGACACAGTGGAAATGCATGTGGGGGCAGGGACTCCAAGGGAGGGAGGAAGCCTCCCTCTCAGTGCTCCCCCCTCCTTCCCGCCCACCTGGGGCCCTGCCCTTCTCTGCTCCTGCCTCTGCCCTGGGGCAGGCACAGTTCTGGGTCCCCTCTTCATTGCTGGGAGCACTTCCTGTCCCCAGGCCTGGGTCCTGTCTGCCCGGGGGGGAATGGGGAGCACATGTGAACACTCCTAGGCCCTCCCCCACCAGCCCAAACGGAGGCCCCTCCTTCCCTGCACCCTCCTCCCACCCCAGGAGCTTTGAGATGCACGTCCTGCCTTCCTCTGTGTCTCCGGCAGGGGGCAGCCTGAGCCCCCGAAGGGAGGCTGGTTGGGGGAAGCCACAAGGCTGGCAGGGACAGTAGCGGGGAAGGAGGGGCCCCCCTCAGACTGTGCACTCCACCCTGCAGGGCCCCAGGACCAGGAGAAAATTGCACAGAGGCTGGGCTGTGAGAGCAATGCCGCCCCAAGCTGCAGAGGGGGCTACAGCCTGGCATCCCCCTCGCCCCCCTGCAGGCTCAACTGTGCCTTGTCACGCCTCCTGACCCCAGAGTCCTCACCAGCAGAGAAGGCGGGACGGGGGAGGTGCTTGTGGGTGCGGTGACCACAGTGACCGTGGGTGATCACAGATGGTCACGTGTGGCCATGACTGACTGCACTGAGTGGGTGGACGTGGAGCGGATGTCTGGGAACAGGGTGGTGTGTCTGCAGTGACCCAGAGGAGATGGTGCAAAGTCCCTGGGTTCCAGCAGTTGAGAAGCACAGTCCCCGAGTCGCAGATCTGAGCACCCCCAGAAAACCAGAATGTTTTGGCGAGATTGGACAACAAAACCCGATGAAAACCGAGTCACACTATATCTCTAAAGCTCCTTTGAACCGCTGCATGCACACGCGTGTATGTTCTGCAGCAGGGATGCTAATGCATTTTATTATGCTCCTCCCAGGATACTAAGTGAAATATCACACACATCACACCTTCTTTCTTAACCCAAACAGTTTCCACTTGGCACCGGGGTTTCAGATAAGAGGCTGTGGACCGTGGTCCCTTCCTCATCCTTAGTTACGGAAAGAAACTAAGGATGGCCCCTGGGAGCAGGTGGAGAAAGCGCTGAGCGCCCAGCTCCCCCCCTGCAGAAGGCAGCACAAAGCCTGGGGCAGGTTTTGGAGGTGGGGCTTCCACTCAGGTCACCCCATCCTTGTAGAGGGGCCAGAGCAGGTTCTTGGCCAGCTCCCTGACCTGCTGGCCCCATGTTCACACCCAGTGACAGGAGAAGCTGCAACAAAACAAAACAACGAATAACAAGAAGGGACCCAAGCCACACAGCCCTGCATGCAAGGGAAGCAACTCAGGACAGTGTGAGCCGCTGGCGTCAGACACACAGAGTGACCAGGAGCAGGAGCAACTCAGGACAGTGTGAGCTGCTGGCGTCAGACACACAGAGTGACCAGGAGCAGGAGCAACTCAGGACAGTGTGAGCTGCTGGGGTCAGACACACAGAGTGACCAGGAGCAGGAGCAACTCAGGACAGTGTGAGCTGCTGGGGTCAGACACACAGAGTGACCAGGGTCAGGGCTCACAGTGTGCCCAGGTCAGGGATTAGCCTGTGACCAGAATAAGGGTTCAGCCTGTGGCCAGGATCAGGGCTCAGAGTGTGGCCAAGGTCAGGCTCAACGTGTGATTGGGGCAGGGCTCAGTGTCCCCGTGGTCAAGACTAAGTGGCAGCCAGAGTCCCGTTTCTCCTTCACTGTGGTCCGCCCCTCCCAGAAGGCCATGTCTGTGCCAGGAGAAGCTATATCCCGTGTCCTGCCCTGGCCCCAGCGTTCACAACGACGCATCACAGACATTGCTCTCCTCCCCTGTCTCTCAGAGCAGGAAGCTGGCCAGGGATCATCCCTGGAGATTCATCAAACCCTTGGGTCTGCCCCAGGCACCTTCTTGTGGTGAGCCGTGTGCTGGTCAGTGCTTTGGGCCCGAGGCCATGGAGATGCCCCAAACTGGAACAGGCGCCTCTTCCCAAACTTCTGCTGGTTTCCCTCTGCTTCATCCAGCTGCTCGCAGTGATGTGCTCTCGGCACTGAGCAAGGCAGGGACCACGATTCTGTCTGTAGGAGAGGATACCCAGACTCAGGCTGGCTGGCGTCCCACAGGCGTTGAGAGCAAGGCTATACCCACAACGCAGCGCCCCCACCTCAAATTCCCTGACCCTCCCCACAACGGGGTGCTTTCCTGAGGGTACCAGTGGCACATCCATCTGCCACTCCCTCCACCTGAAGCTCCTCCTTTCCTGTGGAGTCCAGGGCTGACCAGTTTGCCAGAAAGATCTTCATGGGCCTTGTGTTTACTCTATTGTCTTGGCCTCCTTGTACAAGTGCCACCCTCCTCAGCAACATGTCACTGGTGAAGTTGAGACCACCTCCTCTGACACCCTCCATCTGTCACCATCAGCAGCACCTGCCCTTGGGAGAACTGCTGGACTGAGAATGGTGGAGGCCACTGTGATAGGCAGGAGCACTGTGGGGGCCAAAGGTGGGGGTGACAGTTTTGTGGACAGATCTGGGGCTGGAGATATTGGTGGTTGTGATGATGATGGTGATAATGATGGTGACAGTAGTGCTGATGGTGATAATGGTGGTGATGGTTGTGACGGTGATAGTGGTGATGATGGTGATGATGATGGTGATAATGATGATGATAGTGGTGATGGTGATGATATTGGAGAGTGATTTTGGGTGCTGGTGATGCCCAAGACAGTAGACACCACGATCTCTGTTGTAATGATGGTGCTTATAGGTTTGGAAATTATTTTTTATTTATTTATTTATTTTTTAAACGGAGTCTCGCTCTGTCGCTCAGGCTGGGGTGCAGTGGCCGGATCTCAGCTCACTGCAAGCTCCGCCTCCCGGGTTCAAGCAATTCTCCTGCCTCAGCCTCCCAAGTAGCTGGGACTACAGGTGTCCGCCACCACACCCAGCTAGTTTTTTGTACTTTTTTTAGTAGAGACGGGGTTTCACCGTGTTAGCCAGGATGGTCTCAATCTCCTGACCTCGTGATCTGCCTGTCTCGGCCTCCCAAAGTGCTGGGATTACAGGCTTGAGCCACCGTGCCCGGCCAGGTTTGGAAATTATTATCTTGCCAGCTTACTCTGTTCCTCACTCCCATAAACTGGGAGTGTCTGGAGGATGAATGGGTGGAAGGATGGATGGGTGGAAGGATGGATGGGTGGATAGATGGAAGGATGGATGGGTGGAAGGATGGATGGGTGGATAGATGGATAGATGGATGGATGAAAGGATGGACAAATGGGGGATGGACGGATGGTGATGAACAGATGGATAGATGGACGTGTGGATGGATGAATGGGTAGATAAATGGATGGGTGGATGAGTGGGTGGATGGACAGGTGGGTGGATGAGTGGGTGGATGGATGGATGGTGGATGGATGGACGGATGGACGGATGGATGGAGGATGGATGGGTAGATGGAAGAAAGGATACATAAGGACAATGACTAGAGTCTCTGAGTCACCTGGAGGTGGAGCAGACAGGAGTGGCAGCCACCCAGGCGCTGTGCGTCTCGTCAGCACCCACACTCCTGAGATGAGGAGGAAGCTCCTTCACACCTAACTCCTATCTGCTCATTCCCCTTCCTGTCACCGACACAAACAATGCCAGAAGGGGAAGGAAGCCTAAGAAGTTTTCCCCACCCCCTGCACCAAGCGGCTTTGTCTCCAGGCTGGCCAGAGGCTCCCCACCCCCTGCACCAAGCGGCTTTGTCTCCAGGCAGGCCAGAGGCTCTTTCCAGCAAGGCCCTTCACAACCACCTCTCTCACCCCCCTTCCCTGGCCCCAATCCAGCAGTAATAGAGCTTGCTGTCAGGAAGTCCTTCCTCGAGTCTAACCTGCATGCCTTGTGCTGCAACGTGAGGGCCCCTTTTCCCCTCAGCAGACTCTGCTCTTTGG